TTTTTACACACGCCCACTAGAGCCGCAGAGCCGAAACTAGGACCTTGAAATATGACAACAAAGTAATGCTGTCCTCTTAGAAACCCTGTCTTTCCTCTTATACCATCCGATGATTGGGCCACTGGTTTTCTATGTAGAGTTAGGCAGTCGTCCTTGATGTATATGTTCTTGGAAGCGTCCTGTCCGTTCCAGGCGCACTCATAAGCGAGGGCTTTGGATCTAAAGGTCTGTAGCTCTGAGAGGTGTTTTGAGTTTCTGAAATGTCTTGTGCCAGCGTCTTCGAATTTGGCTCGCCAAAATAATGATGGAGTCCTCGTCACTGAGGAGACTGTACCACTTCTTGCATACCATACTACATCTTATGAGGTCTTTAAAACTGGTGTATATGAATATTCTCTCTAATAGACCACCCTAGGCGTGAATTGGAAAAGTTATGAATTTCATTAATTTTATATACGGTATCTGCCCACACATCTTAATTGGCCGCCATTTTGGTTGGCAAGTTTATTATGGAAGTCAATGGAGGCACGAAGAAAATGCCTCACTTACCTGCTGTAGCTCTATCAATAGCTAAAAAGCGCTTGTTATAAGAAAGAACAGCTGCCTATAAGCTTCTCCTGCCAAGGATTTGGTCAAATTTGCTCCAGAATTCTTAATACAGGTTTGTTTTTATATCGGCCCGTTTGTTCTCCATTGAAAGTTGCCAACCAAAATGGCGGCCGAAATTTATTTCATCCTAAACCACGCCTTACAACCGTAAAAATTTCTAATAATCTTCCTACGCATTCGATTCTCGCCTAGGGTGGTCTATACGAAATGGGGTAGGAGATACATCATGTCAGCCATTTTGTTTTAGGAAGGAGTGGCGTAAGTGTAATCAGTTACTCCATAGTCATACAGTGCTTTTTGAAGAGTGCCTATTTGCCATTAATTTTGATGCATTACTGCCAGGTAATCATCATAACTTTAAGTTTTTAACACCACTGAGAGCCCGTAAGTTTAATAATGAAGGATCAGGTAAGTTATATAATACTCCTGGGTAAATAAACATGCTTGTAGGCTTCTGCTTTAAATTGAAAGGGCTACATTTGTGGCATCTCTTCCACAAGCACAGCAGCTTGCCCCCACATATTGCCAACATAACTCCACCCTAGATAGGTGGGCATAATTAACTAGGATGCTGATAGCTAGCTTTTGAGCCCTGCCCAAGCCATACAAATGCAACCAACTTTGGTATACGTATTTATCCTGACCCTCCGCCTTTCGCGAGGGTCAGGCCCGCCTGACTAGTTTCTGCTCACGTGACATGTATTACTAGTATGGTGAGAGTCACGTGATTAACGAGTTTGCAGGGTCAAGCAACCTGCAAAGCACTGTATTATACAGTGCTTTGCAGGTTGCTTGACCCAGTTTCTGCTCACGTGACATGTATTACTAGTATGGTGAGAGTCACGTGATTAATGAGTTTGCATGCAGGGTCAAGCAACCTGCATGCAAAGCACTGTACACTACGTAACCGGGATTGGAAACTGATGACGTCACGTGTATAGACTGTGTGATTATTAATGCATGTAATTGCATGAATTTGCATCAAAATGGTGAAAATCATGAAGAATTTTTATGTTTGATGAGCTCTATTAATTTTCTAATGTGATTTAGCTGGTTCTAAATAGCTTATTCTCATGAAGAAAACACCAGAGATAATGATGATGCCTTTCTCTTCGTGTCTCTATGCTTAGTTCGATCGGGAGAGGTACAACAGATCGGCCGCTTTTTGGCGTTATTTTGGTGGATTTCTGCTCTCAGTGATATGGCAGGCAGAACTAACCAGTCTATTCCTATATAGCATGGCCTTGTGCATAGTTTTAATCATAAAATGAAACTGGGGT